AAAAGCCAATAATTAAAACTAGAGGGGGGAAAAAAACCCCATCCAAAACAAAAAAAAAAAAAAACCAACAAAAATCTCTACCACTCTTGTCTCTGTCCCGTCTTGGATCCACAATTATAGGCAAAATTGCTAACACATGGGAAATAGCAACTATGATGCATCCACTAGTCATATTAAGGAGAACAATCAACAGATATAAGTAAAAACATTGCAAATAAGGGAAATAAAAGTTGACTGAGATCAGGTTTTTTTGAAAAAAACACTATGATTGAGGTCTCTACCACTCTTGTCTCTGTCCCGTCTTGGATCCACAATTATAGGCAAAATTGCTAACACATGGGAAATAGCAACTATGATGCATCCACTAGTCATATTAAGGAGAACAATCAACAGATATAAGTAAAAACATTGCAAATAAGGGAAATAAAAGTTGACTGAGATCAGGTTTTTTTGAAAAAAACACTATGATTGAGGAATCTTTTAAAAATTAGAACTAGACAAAGATTAAAAAGATGATGCTGAAGTCTATTAAAGTATATTTGAACTACAAAATTATTACTACCCAGAAGGAATAACGTCTTCTATCTACATACAAAAATAGATACACATGCATATACTTAATTTGTATTTAATTTACATTCATTCTGAACTGCAATGAGAACAGACTGAAGGATGTGTTGCCTGCAGATTGAACCCAAAACCCCAGCAATTTAATTTTGAAATACGCAGTGAGTAAAAAAAACCAACCACCCAGCAAACACAACCAACAGGCAGCAGTCTCACGCAGGGTTGATAATTCTCCATTTGTTCCATTCCACATCCAGAAAAAAACAGATCAAAGAAGATTCCAGGCTGTTGATTTTTATCTTCCTGGCAACTGGAATCATTTGATCTATTTGGCAAAAGTAGGTGATGAAAGTTATAACACTTTCCTTAAACTGCCAAATGCCACAAGAAAAGCTTTGGGCATCTGCCACTAATCTGAAACACTCTGATAGAAGCTGCTAACAGCATCGGTCCACTTACGAGGATTTCTAAATGCTCAAAATGTTTTTAATTGAAAGAGGAAAAATGGACTGATTACTTCAAGCTAAGCTCAATGTTACAAGTCACAATCAGCAAGGAGTTGGTCACTATTCCATCTGTCTGAACAAAGAACATGAGAAATAAAAAAGAATCCACAACAAAAATGCCACCACAAAAGAGACCACGAGAAAAAGCATCTACAGAGTCTGGGTCACAAGAAACTGTGGTGAAAACACCACAGTACACCGCTGCACCATCATATTATTTTACAAGAGACGCCTGACTACAGCTACAAAGATGAGAGTGAGCAGGCCAGTCATGGCTGAGGGCAAAGGGGAAAATGAGGACACAACCCAAAAGACACTGCAAATTGAACTGGTCTCCTTGAGATCTTGCAGAAAAACCTCCCTTTGTGATTCTGCTCAGAGACACTATGGCAAGAGAACCATGGCACGACTTCTACCTGAGGAAGAAAGGGCAGTGTTTTATCCAGGTCCTACTGCAGCTAGAGCATCCGAATGACACAGGGAGCCTTCCATTCCAGGTGATAAGTTGTTAAAAAAATCAAACAAGACCTTTGACAGATCAGTTCCATAGTATTTGGAAGACACATTTCCCCAACACTGGGCATCATCATCCTGAAGGCAGCTGTGGTCAACAAAGGGTATGACTTAAGTCTTCTACTATTTTCACTCTAGTAATTGGTGTTGGCATTCTGCAAGGAGACCATGGCTTATATTTGATGACATTCAAGAACTGAGCAAGGGGTACAGACACTGCAGAAGAAGCCTCCAGTAAGTTAATTGCTTTGCAAGAAAAAATCTATGCAATTGGAACCTGTTGGAGAATCTGCAGACTAAAATCCAATTGGGCTGATAAATTATGTTCAACTTACTAAACACAGAGGCTGTCTGCACTAAATGGCCCAAAAGGAGAAATACCGTTCTTCTGGCAGGACAGTCTAGCTGGTCTCTCATTTATTTTTAGTGCCTTCTGCCCTGGAGTATTAATCTGTCCCAGCGCACCTCATGTTTCCAAAACCC